CATGTAAGAACTTGTTCGTTATGCTTCAGAAGATTGGAGATTGTTAAGAATTAGGCTTGGGGTTGATTAATGATTGTGCATTGAGTCTCCTATACAGAACTTTATTGTTGTTAACAACTATTTGATCAATAAATATGAGAGATGCCCTCTTAAAAAAAAAAACTGAAATTAGGCTGGACCCTGGGACTGTGCTGGGACCATAACTTGACTGCATATGTCTCTTGTATGTCATTTTCACACAGCTCTTATAAAGTTACCCTTAAAGACAGAGAGCAATAGACAAAGCTGTGAAGTCCATGAGGTGGATGGTGGTATCCATAGTGTCCAACAGAGCACTTGGCCCACAGCAGGTGCTCAGTAAGTTTTGGGTGAATGAATGCACGCAGACCCTCAGAAGGCAACATTGCACCATGTTGACCCCTGAACACTACTTCCTACCCAAGCCATGTGCCCTAAGCAGGAATACTCTTAGCATGAACGGTTATTTATAGACCTTTCAAAGCACGTAATGAAGTGTTTAATCTGCCAATCATCAAGTCGAAAGTATATAATGAACATGGATTAAGAGACCCATGTGATATGTCTGAATTCCTTCAAATATATATTGATTACTAAAATGTTTCTTCCATGTTGTGATTCAGTACATTGACCAGGTTTCTCTCTCTGAATGTGAGTGTGTCTACCTAGACAACTCAAGACAGGATGAATTAGTGGAACTCATAGGTGTTTATGTTTTTCAGACTCATTGAAAAGAACCTAATCTAAGGATCTATGATTTAATGAGCCTTTCAAAGCTGAAAACATATCCCACTGAGATTTGAAACAGAAAATAGACTTAAAATAGAAAAAGAAAACAAAGCACGTTTTGTGTTTCATGGACACAGAAAGGTGCTAGAATTATTTACTGCTTTCTGGACTTTGCATTATGACCAAATTGATATTTTCCAGGTTTTTCATTAACTTAAAATGTTCTGAGGTAAACACATCATTTGCCATGATTTAATCCAAGGTGTTTCCACAGCTTCCTTGTAAGCAGCTAAAAATTAGACTGAGAGGTAGGAGTTCTGGTCAAACCCCTTTGTGAAAGTAGCACTAGAGAAAATGCACAAATTTTACCCAGCCACTGCCCTAAAATTCTAGCTGCCACAGCAAGCAGAGGCTCTAAAAGAAGAATCACAAGGTATAATCTTCTAGCCCAGAACTTTCTCACTTCCAAAGCCAGAATTCATTTCATCTTGCCTTAAAAATTTCCACAGATTCCCCAAATTGTAAAAGAACATAAGACTGACCTGACCACCCTCACACCTACTGCACTGGCCCTCCATAAAAGGCCCTACAAGAGCAAAAGCTTCTACCACCTTTCTGGATGGTTCTAGGCAAGTCTACCTTCATAGATACGTAACTCTCAGAATTCACTAGGATTTCAAATTTCCCTCCCAACCTAAATCAGACTGATTAAATCAGTTTCTTCAGCTAGTCTTTTAAACAAGGTGGAAAATTAAAGAGGAATAGAAAAGTCAATTCAAGATAGCCAATATCAAGATAGATAGATACGTTCTAACTCTCAGTCTTAGAGACAAGGACATCTCTAGGATGAGAGCCTATGGGGTTCATAAAGTCCATCTGATGGACAAACAGAGAATGACAAAAAACTGGCTCTCACTTGCCACCAGTGTTAGATGCCCCAATGGTCACCCAGCAGAGCTCTCAGTAAATTGTCTGGGGGAGGTATTGAAGAACATTCAACAGGAGTAAGCAGAACAATTTTTTTAAAAAACTTTTCGTGGATGCTGGCTATGTGATTTGACATGTAGCTAAATACTGAATGCTCACTTGACCCTCCTAAGACTGAGTCACAAGCAGAGGTAGAGCACAATCCCCTACACCTCACATTCACCAAAGACAAAGTCAGATCCTCACAATGCTTGTCCAGAATGGGACATTACTCTGACGTTCCAAGTTGCTAGTACATAGTGACTGGTTAAAGTACACTAACATTATCTGGCTCATACATGTAGATAAAACCTCTTATGATTTCAATCAATAAAAAATAACAGCCATACAGGATACAGCATAAGTAAGGAGACATTACAGGGAAAGTGAGTGTTTTTATGATCATTTTGCCTTCCAGTATACCTCACAAAAATAGCCACTATACAAATGGAGAAGTCTAATTGTTAAATACTTCTTCAAATTGAGCTGAAATTACTTTACCTAGGATTTTTAACTTCTGTCCCAATTCTGTTCTCTGTAACACACCACAATATACCTTTCATACATGGAGATATTTTTCCAAGAAACATTTAAGTCCTTGCTTGGCAACTGTGGCTGCTACTTTCAAAGTAAAACTTGAAATTTTAAACTAAAACATTCAGTGAACAATCAGCCAATCAAAGACTTTGCGTGTTCACCAAATGCCCAGGTGTGTGCTCAGCAATGAGAATAATAGGAAATGATTAACTTATTTCTAAGGGATTATTTTCCACTGGTTCCATTGTTTTGTGCTGCCTCCTCCAAGAAGAAAGTCGATTAAAACTAAATAATTTGAGGGGAACATGAAAAGTCATCAGAAAAATGCAGTAGGTGCTAGTTGCAAATGTAACCTAGAGGAAAAGTGGGCGTAGGGATAAGGCAGGAAGGAGTAATAGTCATTTGGCTCTTAGCAGCTCCAGGTGCTTTATACTTACTATTTCACTTTATTCTTATCACAGCTCTGTAAAGTAGGTTGTCATAAAGTGGTGCGTAAAAAGAAACTGAAGTTTTAAGAGGTTATTTAAATTGCCCAAAAGTGATATACTTGCTGTGGGGGATCCACACCCAAATTTAATTCTGAAGGGTATGCTCCTTTCACTGTGTAATAAACATTACTTGTAAAGAAATCAATACAAGACATTATCACTTGCCATGAGATATGATACTGAATGTGGATGGCTAACACTATGTCCCCATCTGCTATTTGTTTAATATACAGATCACCCAAAGAATATAATTGTATTTTTTAGCTTTAGAATATCTGTAAGTCATTGAATTGCAATATAACTGCGTGTGATTTGCAATGCCATAGTCTTTTTGTTTGATGTTTCCAAATGGGAATGTCACCAAACTCTTATAGAATAAGAATTGATAATAAAAAATTTTAAAGAGAACATGCCACAGCAGAGGATGCTGGGGAGATAAAAATCATTTGGCCATCTGTTTTTCAGGATATTTTAAAGCTATTGAAATCAATGGGTGTAGGAGAAGTAAAAGTAAATTTGGGGTAAGCAAGTTCCCCGTGCATAGCCCAGTAGAGATGGTACAACTCTGAGTAACACTGCAGTCAGGGAATTCTGGTGGGTCTCATCTGGGTTATTCAGCTGAACTCTGACCAGGATTCTGCTTGACCTCCCTGTTGCTTCACCAAAGACCACCTCTCAGCAGAAAATGGCTGAAGTCATATTACTTTGTCACCCATTTTTCCATCATATGCATTCCTGCCACATTCTAAAATCAACCACAGTGATGGTGTTCAAGACCCTCCTTGCATTTTCCAGTGATGGGACCCAGATCCAGCTCAGCTGGTAGGCAAGGCACTTGAGTTTTAGCATAAGAATAAATGACAGAGAAATGTGGTTTTCCTCAATGTGCCATGCCATCTACGACATTTGACGTGCAGAGCCTCACATTCCTGTTGGAGGACAAGGTTGCTCACCATTGTTCTGACTCCAAAATTATTTCCGATATGAATGCCTGTAATTAACCTCATTTATTGACTTTACACGTGGGAGGTGTGGAGAAAGGCTCAGTGGTGCTCTTAACTGCCTCCTCTACAGCTAGCAAACAGCCAAGATGTTTGCATATGCCTGTTTTCAACTTCCCTACAAAGGTAGAAAACTTGAATGGGTCCTTTGTGTTAGAATCTATTTAAAAGTTCTATCTGAAATTAAAGGGAAAGAGTTCAGCTTAGAGACCCCTGCACCCAGCCACGTAGCACGTCTGTCTTCCTTCATCTTGGCTCTTAGAGCCACATTATAAAGCCAAAGCCAAACAGACCACATGCGAATGTTAGCCATGAGGCACAGTCCTGCACCCCTGTCACCTTTGGCTTGGAGTGATTCTGAAAGCATGCTATGAAATAGCACCACTTGTTTCACTGGTCCCTAGCCCACCAGCGCTAGCACCCCCTCCCCCACCCCGACCTCCACCAAAAATTGCTCTGCAAGGCTTTTGTCAGACCTGCCATTTGCAGGGTCTGTGCATTCTTACTTTGATGATTCAATCTTAGCTTGCTGCCACGAAAGTCTCAATTCCTTTCCTGCCCACGAAACAGCAGTTCAGCTTGATACAGTGCAAAGGAAATGACATTTGGTGACTGGTGGTTACAAAGGATGCCTCCGGGAATGGATGCAGAGGTTAAGGTGCTGATACACTTTGAAATCTTAACACATACCTGCTGCCATCCAGGAATCAAACATAAGAAGAGAACACAGAACACAGTGAAAAATAAGTTACTCAGTAATAATACCATATCTGATTTACAAATCATTTTTACATATAATGTGTTAGCTGGCATGCTTTTAGATGTAACAGAAATCATCTCAAGCTAAATAAAGCAAATAATAATTGATTACATGGATACCAGGGTATCTCACTGACCTCAGTGAAGGAATGCAGCAGGGCCTCAAGAATGAGGAAATGGAATGCTCTCATCCAGGAAACACCACCAAATCCTCTCTTTCTTTTGTTTCTATTTTATTCTGTTAAACTGCGGAGCTGGTCTCTCTCTGATTCAATCACATGGTGGAAAAATGTTACCAACCCAAACCTTCTGTGTTTGCCCCCTCTCTGTTGAAAAGGACAGCCAGTTGAAACTGGAATATCTTGGTCTTAGTTCTGAGTGTCCAAAGGGCTTTCTTGGTCAGGTGCCCAGGCACCCTTTGCCAGCCACCTGGGGTAAGGAGGCTGGGTCACGTTGCTCAACTATGGCTTGCAGGAGCCCAGCCATTGTAACCATGCAGATGGGAGATGGCTGGGCCCTGGAAGGGGGAAGTTACCCCAAAAGTGAGGGTCCAGGACAGGCAACCCAACTGATGTGAGTACATATATTTTTTTACTTGATTATCTGCCCCACCCACCGACTTTTTGTTATTATTATTCCTCTCATTTTACAGATGAGAGTTATTATTTGCCTCTGCCTTCTGGGGAGATGTGAGACAGACTCTCATGAAAAGAGTTTAATAACATTTTGAAAGCAACATATACCATACAAAGCAATATAGAAATATTTCAAACTAATGAAAATAGTTGAACTTTGGTTTCTTATTTGGAAGAAACTTAGGAAAGTGTGGGGGGGGGACATTTCAGACATAAGAAATAGAAGGAAGTCATACATTACCAGCAGCAATTCACATGTTGACAATCTGACTCATTCATCACACTATATGCAGGAAGGCAAGATTAATATTTTCAAAGAATAGAGGAGGATGAAAGTAGAACCACAGAGAGCCCTGGATTTCCAGATTTCCAAGCATTCAGAGCCCTGCCTCCAGCCTACCATTCTCGCCCCCAACATAGCCAGTATCTTAGACCTATTCTGATTCCTTGGACAGTCACCATAAAAAGTGCTATTTTAAATCTCTAGTTCCATAGGATTAGAGCAGATATCCTTTTCAGATCATCCTCTGAATAGGATTCCATTTGTTTTTACATCACTGCTCTTAAGACCGAGAATTACTTCTACTAAGAATTAGTTCTTCACAAATTTTTCTGATCCATGTCCAATGTGATTTTTAGTACCCAGATTTCAGAAATGTCATCCAGATCTGAACAGGAAAGAGTGCCCAGTTATCACAGAGCTCAGCTGAACAATTAGTAGTTCATCTGTATCTCACTACACATTGCGGCCCTACAGTCCCAACCAAAGCCCCTTGAAATGGCAGTCAAGGACTCCAGCTTCAGATTCAGACTTTCCATGAGCTCATCTAGTGATTGAAAGAAGCTCTTTAACCTTCTGAGGCTTCTTGCTTCTTCACTCAGTTATCAACAAATATCTTTTGAGTTCCATCTGTGTGCTAGGCCCTGTTCTAGACTCAGCAGGTCCAGCAGAAACCAAGCAAAAAAAAAATTCCCTGTCCACATGGAGCTTACAGTCTATTGGCTGGAGAAAGAAAATAAACATAATTGAATTATATAAAATATTATAGATACAGCATGAGATAAATGAAAGCAAAGAAAGGAGAATGGGAAGTAGAAGAGGGTGGTCATAATTTAAAATTCCATGGGAAGGTTTGGCCTCAATGACTAGGTGACAACTGAAGGAATTAAGGATATAGCAAATACAAAGGTCCTGAGGTGAGAGCATGGCTGGCATGACTGAAAAACAGCAAAGAGGCTCCTGGAGAGCCGACCGGAGACGGAGAGTCATAGGAAGCATTGCTGGGGGGCAACAGGGTAGTGGACCTGGTCAGGATTTGGGCCTTTACTCTGAGTGTGATGAAGTGCACTGACTGGGTTAGAACAGTGTGATATGACCTAAAGCTAGAGTTGAACAAGGGCACTCTGGCTGATGTATTAGGATTAGATTTCAAGGTAGCAAGAGTACAGAGAGGAAAATAAATTAAAAGTAGGGTGACCATACCTCCTATTTGCCCAGAGCAATCCTGGACAATGTGTCTCGGTACAATTATTACTGCCTCTCCCCTTTAAGTATTCAAAGTATCCCAGTTCAGATGATAAATTATGTTCTCATCCTAGTTAAGAGGCCATACTATTGCAAAATCCAGATGAGAGATGATGATATGAGACAGGTTAATAGCAACGAAGAAGTGATCTGATTTGAAATACACTTTGAAAGTAGAGACCACAGGGTCTTCTGATGGATTAGATGTGGACCATGAGACAAAGAGAAGAGTTAAAGATCACTCGTAAGATTTTCAGGACAGAGAAACTGAAAGGACAGAATTGCCACTAAATAAGATAGAGCAGGCTTTCCAGGAGAAGGCCAGTTGTCCCCTGTAGGGCATGTTAATTTTGAGCTATTAGATAGCCAAGAAAGATGTCAGTAAGGCAGTTGGGAATACGTCTGGAGTCTAGGGGAGAGGTCCTGGTTGGAAATACAAGTTTGGGATCAAAAACATAAAGATGGAATTGAAAGCCATGAAGTTGTAAAGAATCATCAAACATATGACTGTAGGAAGAGCAGCACTCCACGGGCAGAGCCCTGAGGATCTCCCCTGGGAGAAAGAGGGGATCCAGCAAAGGGGTGAGAAGCAGTAGCCAGTGAACTAGGAGGAAAAGCAGCAGTTTCTTCATCTTTACAGTGAGTTTGTTACAGTACACTGGTGTTTCTTTGGGTCTTTTAACTATGACCCCAAGATACATCAGGGACAGCTGTATTATAAGGTGGGAGACACGGCAAATTCCGGTCTCTTCCTCCCCACTTCAGTCAGAGCTAATCTACATTTTCTTGCCCCAAATAATGGGCCACTGGGTAGATTCATTTGTTAAAAAGATGGTGGCAGGTGGCAGAGCTGCAGGTGAGAGAAGGTAGATACCTGTTGCTTAAAAAAATGAAAACCATTGCTCTGGATAATCTTTAATGTCTGTAGTCCCTTCTGGCTCTAAAATTAATTTGATTCTACCCAATTCTACCAAAGAAAGAATCTTCTAATGTCCAAAGTTACTTACCAAAGCCACCTGATAGAGTCAAGGTAGAGATGGGATATTTGAATCATTTCTCTTGCCTGAGATTACCTGTTTGTTACAGGAATTCAGTCATAGGAAAATAGGAAGAGAAAAATAACAATTGGCTTTGAGTGGGAAGTCAGTTAAGTTTTAAAAATGGATCCAGGAAATGTTTTATTAAACAACTAAGGAACTTACTGGCTTAGACTAGAGAATAAGCCTGCTGCAAATTCCACTAGCCTCATGAGTATCCATTCATCTGAGAAAGCTTCTTGCTGTACTGCACTGATGGAGCAAAAGAAGCACAAGCTTTTGCCCACAAGTATTATTAATAATAGTAAATAGTAGTTCACTATTTATCAAGCATTAAACAGATGCCAAATGCTGTGTCAAGCTCTCTATGAGTTTTCATGCCTAACCCTCACAACAATCTCAAGGTACTCTCAGGTGCTCAGTGGATGTTTGTTGAAAGAATATCATGACTGAGATTAACAACAGTAAATGTGCCCAAGGTTGCCTCGCTGGATAAGTGGTAATTCCCATCCCCGGGTTTACTGACTCCAACACCAGTACTCCTGATCACAATACTTTATTTTACTGTACTGTAATCGTAGATGTTGTGGTGTGCCCCACTCAGCTCCTGCACCATTTCCCCAGCTGCCAGGAGTGTAGGCACTGATGGCTCACAGCTGAGTCTCTCCTTCAGCAGTGGCCTCTACCAAAGGCGTCTGCCCCACAAAGATTACTTCCCCTCCCTGGGGAAGCCTACAAGCAGTAACTGATGGATGCAAGAGCACAAAGGCCCAGCCCCTTGCTTCAGTTCAGGACCCCTCTGAAGGGCCATCCTGCTCCAGAGCTCCCAAATCAACTTCTCAGTCTGCCCAGTCCTGCCTTCCTAACTCCCTTGAGACCACTTTCCCTGTAACTTTCCACACACAGATCTCTGTCTCAAGGTCTGTGTCCCGGGAACCCAGTGAAGACATTGACATCTGCAGAGATCTGCTCTAGACACTTGTTTTATTCATGTAATAACCAGCAAATGTTTACTGAGTCAGGAATGTGTGAGATTTCTTCTTTTGAGTATCACCTGTTCATAACATCCATGCATTTTCTACTGGGTTGTCATGCTTCAAAATTTACAGGTGTTCTTCGACATATTCTATATGAATCTCATATGAGTTATGCGCATTGCATAGCAATTATTCCTGTCTGTGTCTTGTCTTTTAACTCTATGGTATCTTTTGTTATGTAGAGTCTTTACTTTGGGGCTGTCAAATGTATGGATATATTATGGATCTTTCATGCTTATATTTCATGTGTCTAGCAAAAGCCTTCTCTACTGAAAATGAGAGAAATGCAAATTAAAGTAATGATGAGATCCAATTTCACATCAACCATATCCACAAAATTTTTAAAGTCTGATGATCACAAGTGCGAGTGAGAGTGTGGAGAAGCAGGAACCGTCCTACCCTACCAGTAGGAACATGAATGGGAGTAATTTGTAGGGTACTTTAACAGCTGACAGTGGTCACACTGGTAAACCATGAAATTCTACATTAGGTATAAACCCTAGAGAAACTCTTACAGTTAGGTGTGAGGAGGCTTATACAGCAAGGCACATACTTGTTTGTAAGAGCACAGGATTAGAAAGCACATAAATGTCCATCAAAGGGAAATGGAAAAATAAATTGTGAAATATTCATACAGCAGAATAACTTACAGTCATTAAATGAAATAAACATGGATAAGGCTGCAAAACAATAAGAAGGGCAAAACAATTGCTAGTTACAACTTGTATACTAAGTTTATAAACCCAAAAAGGAATAAAATGTATTTTTGGAAATGTAAATATGTAGTATAAACAGGTTTGGTAATAAACACTGGATTCACAATAATGGTCTCTAGGAGAAAGAGGGAAAGAAACTGGAATTGGGGTACCCGGGAGCCTTTTAATATCAGTGAAGCTTCATTTCTTAAATTAAAGATACTCTGAAACAAATACAGCACAATGTTGGTGTCTGATGAAGCTGAGTGGTAGGCACCTGCTGGCCATCATATTATTCCCAATTCTTGTCTCTTCTGAAATATTATTATACAGTAAAAATGGATTAAAAGAAGAAAAGAAAAATATTCACTAGAGCTGAGAATTA